GTTTAGCAAAAAATAAAAAACACAGTGGTAATTACCTAGGAAAAAAAAAAATTTCATTTGGGTACAGTGTTGCATGACTATGCAACTGTCATTCAAAGTGCGACAGCACTGAAAGCTGAAAATTGGCCTGGGCAGGAAGGGGGTGAAAGTGTCCGATAGGCAAGTGGTTAAGCAGTGCTAAAACTTGCTAAATGACAGCTGGTTTAAAAAATAAATAGGCATTTTTGGAATCTAAATCTTCACGTTTAAGTTGTTTTATTAGTGGAGCATTACCTTTTAGGAATGTGTGTGCTGTCATTCAGTTGCATTCCGTTCCTGTCAGAGCAGAAATGGTAGCCTAGTGTCAAGGCTGTAAGGCCCCCATAGAGACTGGCATGTCTTCTGATAACTAACACTCTGTCCATGCTGCTGGAGGATAAAATAGTCAATTATGAAACTTCTCTTTCAAGGCAGCAAAATTACGTGAGAACACATGGTCAAGCCACCCTGCTGGAAGCAAAACTGATCTTCAGTAAACCTAACCCATCATACTGGCATTTCATCTTTCGTGGGCTGCAGGGACAATTCTATAGGAGGGAAAAAAAAAAAAAAAAACACGAGCATACAAATAGATTGCTCAAAAAAATTTAAAGGAACACTTGGGAAAAACATCAGATCTCAATGGGGAAAAATCTCATGCTGGATATCTATACTGACATGGACGTGGGTAATGTGTTAGGAATGTAAGGATGCCCCATCGTTGATGGAAATGAAAATTATCAACCTACAGAGGACTGAATTCAAAGACACCCCGAAAATCAAATTGAAAAAAAGATGGCAGCAGGCTAGTCCATTTTGCTGAAATATCATTGCAGCAACTCAAAAAGCTCCTCGGTAGTTTGTATGGCCCCCATATGTTTGTATGCATGCCTGACATCGGGGCATGCTCCTAATGAGACGACGGATGGTGTCCCGAGCTATTTCCTCCCAGATCTGGACCAGGGCATCACCGAGCTCCTGAACAGTCTGAGGTGCAACCTGGTGGCATCGGATGGACCGAAACATGATATCCCAGAGGTGTTCTATTGGATTTCGGTCAGGCAAGCGTGGGGGCCATTCAATGGTATCAATTCCTTCATCCTCCAGGAACTGCCTGCATACTCTCACCATATGAGGCCAGGCATTGTCGTGCACCAGGAGGAACCCAGGACCCACTGCACCAGTGTAGAGTCTGACAAAGGGTCCATGGATTACATCCCGATACCTAATGGCAGTCAGGGTGCCATTGTCTAGCCTGTAGAGGTCTGTGCGTCCCTCCATGGATATGCCTCCCCAGACCATCACTGACCCACCACCAAAACCGTCTTGCTGAACAATGTTACAAGCAGTATAACGTTCTCCATGGCTTCTCCAGACCCTTTCAGGTCTGTCACATGTGCTCAGGGTGAACCCGCTCTCATCTGTGAAAAGCACAGGGCACCAGTGGTGGACCTGCCAATTCTGGAGTTCAACGGCAAATGCCACTAAAGGACGTCGGGCCCTCAGGCCACCCTCATGAAGTCTGTTTCTGATTGTTTGGTCAGAGACATTCACACCAGTGACCTGCTGGAGGTCATTTTGTAGGACTCTGGCAGTGCTCATCCTGTTCCTCCTTGCACAAAGGAGCAGATACCGGTCCTGCTGATGGGTTAGGGGCCTTTGTAGGCCCTGTCTAGTTCTCCTAGAGTAACGTTCTGTCTCCTGGAATCTCCTCCATGCTCTTGAGACTGTGCTGGGAGACACAGAGAACCTTCTGGCAATGGCATGTATTGATATGCCATCCTGGAGGAGTTGGACTGCCTGTGCAACCTCTGTAGGGTCCAGGTATCGCCTCATGCTACCAGTAGTGACACTGACCCTAGCCAAATGCAAAACTAGTGATAAACAGTCAGAAAAGAGGAGTAGAGAAAAAAATGTCAGTGGCCTCCATCTGTAAAACCATTCCTGTTTTGGGGGTCATCTCATTGTTGCCCATCTATTGCACCTGTTGCTAATTTCATTAACACCAAAAGCAGCTGAAACTGATTAACAACCCCTCTGCTACTTAACTGACCAGCTCAATATCCCAGGAGTTTAATTGACTTGATGCCATACTCTGATTAAAGCGTGTTCCTTTAATTTTTTTGAGCAGTGTATATAGTGATGCATGATCCAGTGGGAAAGTATGTTAAAAATATCCAGCTCAGATTTTTTCAGAGAAATAATTCTTGCTGAACACAGACTACAAACCAATAAATTGTGGTTTTCTTCATCAATGCCCCTAAACAATCTTTTTAAACACATTTTATTTAAAAATATTTACATTTCCTGATAGAAATATACAAAGAAAATAAATAGCCTAGAACTGGGCCATTTTTGTAAACGAAGATTCCTCTGGCGATGTAATGAAGATTCTGACATTATATCATTGTAATGAGGAGCTTTCCAGTCATAAACTGTTGTACAATCCAGGGGATGAAACCTGCAGTCAGTCCGCTGGGTCCCTGTGTGCGCCCAATCACCTAGAAAATAATATTAAGACATTTTGGTCACACATCTAGTACATCTATCAAGCAACATTCTAGACAGAAAAAGGAGGCAGTGGAGAAGTCAGGGTAAGTGTCCCAGGACATTTCTGAATGGAAGTAACAGGGTCAATAGTGTTGCATAAACCTATCCAAAAGCAATGCATTAAAGTGGAACAAAGTTGGAAAAATACAACTGCGCACAGGCGGGCTGTTTACTGCAGAAATAAACACGCAGTGTCCATGCAGAAATAAAATACGCTTGCCTGTTCACAATATCCTGTAGAATCCATAACACTGCCTGTATGATTTAACAGCTTCCTGTCCGCCCTATAGCAGAAATACTATAATACAGGGAAGCACTGGTGCGCAAAATCACGTATATATAAGTGATTTTGCAGTTTCGGGTAGGGCTCGCACGCGTCCTACCCATGCCGCCATTCGCGGCCTCAGCTGTTACTCACCAGGTCCCGCCCGGTGATTACTAGTCAGCCCCTGGCGATCGCCAAGTATTACCGACAGGGAAGGGAACTGTATGTAAACGATACAGTTCTCTCCCCTGTTAGCTTCTGCACACTGCTTTGTATGGTTCTGCATAGAACAGCCATACAAAGCAGTGTGCTTACAGTTGAAAGCATATAATGTAAAACAGCACACAGTTAACCCTTTGATCGCCCCACACGTTAACCCCTTCCTGCTCAGTGCCATTAGTACAGTGTCATTGCTTTTTATTAGCACTGATCACTGTATTGGTGTCACTGGGGATGTCTGTGACACCAAGTCAGTTCCCCCCAGTGTCAGAATGCCTGCCGCAGTCCCGCTATAAGTCGCTGATCGTCGCCATTACTAGTAAAAAAAAATATATATATATATACAGTGTATATAATGTATATAATACTGTCATTTGTAGACGCTATAACTTTCACATAAACCAATTAATTTACATATATTGGGAATTTTTTTTTTTTTAGCCAAGACATGGCAGAATAATTTTGGCCTAAATTTATGATAAATTTGATTTTTTTAAATTTTTTTATTGGACATGTTTAATAGCAAAACATCAAACATATTGTTTTCTCAAAATTATTGGTATTTTTTTAAAATAAAAAACAGACAGGCAATCAAATACCAACAAAAGAAAGCTCTATTTGTGGGGAAAAAAAGGATGTAAATTTAATTTGGGTGCAGGGTTGCATGACCGTGCAATTGTCAGTTAAAATAATGCAGCTCCGTAACACAAAAATTGGCCTGATCAGGAAGGGGGGTAAATCCTCAGGAGGGTAGGTGGTTAATATCTTCTTCCTTCAGCCGGATAAAAAAACAAGGAATGACAAGAAATCATGCAAATGTAGCATCAGCTTTACAACCATTTTCTGTCTTCATCCGGTTTATAAAATTGTTTTATGGACCAGACACACAAGTAATACAACTATATGCGTTCTATGTACAATCTTAGTACATTGCATTTGGATAAGTAGATGCAACAGTGGACCCTGAGACTCTTAGTGCCCACTTAGGAATGTCTCAAGGGCACTTACATGTGTATGTGGTTCTCAACTTTTTTTTTTCTGTAACTAAGCTCAGATCTAAATGGCTCAAACTGAATCTGTCACCTACTGTAGAGCTGCCTTTAGATCCCTACAGCTTCTAAAACTCCACTATTACTGCCAAATCCTATGTCCTTCTACCAGGCAATGCACTAACACTTTCAGTTAGCAGCAGAGCTTGCCACAATCTACTGCCTCATAACTATGATAGGCTGCCTCACTGGCCAAACAGGAATGTGCAGTTTTTGTCACTCTTAGACCCCTTTCACACGGGCAGACTGATCGGGTCCACCTGTCCGTTTTTTAGGTGGACCTGATCAGACCATCCAATGCCCTCTAAGGAGCAGCAGATGTAATAGGACATGTGTTCGTTTACACATGCCTGATCAGATCAGCTAAAAACAGTCGAAAGGGGATCCGTTCCCCATTTGTCTATCAGATCGAATGACAGTCTGATGTAGACATACTGGCAGTCTTGTTTACATCCAACCGCCCATAGAGGGGAGCAGGCTGTGTCAGTGTCAGCTCTGAATAAGTAGAGCATACACAGACCTGTCATCTGCCTGGTCAGCAGGGATCAGCAGAGAGATCCCCCGCTCAGCAGGTAGATCTGCTGGTAGAGTCCACTCATATAAAAGGGGCCTTACAAAGTGGTGGAGCCTTGCCTGCCAGAAAAAGCCATAACTGCAGGGATTTGGAGGACTTTATGCCTGCAGAAAATGTTTCATGTTTTTAAGAAAGTGTCTTTAAGTTGTGCTTTACTATGCAATAGCCATGTTAGGTAGCAAAGAGCTGTAACAATGAAAAAACATTAAAAAAAAAAAAAAGTTACATGAAAAAAGAAACACAAAATTGTTCATAGATATTCATCTACCTCCTCTACAAAAGGTAACACACAACTAACATACCTTGTACCTTGACAGATATCTGTTCATGTATCTGGGCTTTGTGGGTTACTCTCTTTAGTCCTGGATCGGGAACGGCTCTTGCTCTTCCTGTCCCGACTCCTGGATCGGGAACGGCTCTTGCTCTTCTTCCCCCGGCTCCTGGATCGGGAATGGCTCTTGCTCTTCCTCCCCCGGCTCCTGGATCGGCTCTTGCTCTTCCTCCCCCGGCTCCTGGATCGGCTCCTGCTCTTCCTCCCCCCCGGCTCCTGGATCGGGAACGGCTCTTGCTCTTCCTGCCCCTACTCCTGGATCGGGAACGGCTCTTGCTCTTCCTCCCACGGCTCCTGGATCTGGATCGGGAACGGCTCTTGCTCTTCCTCCCCCGGCTCCTGGATCGGCTCTTGCTCTTCCTCCCCCGACTCCTGGATCGGCTCTTGCTCTTCCTCCCCCGGCTCCTGGATCGGGAACGGCTCCTACTCTTCTTGCCCCAGCTCCTGGATCGGGAATGGCTCCTGCTCTTCCTGCCCCGGCTCTTGGATCGGGAACGGCTCTTGCTCTTCCTGCCCTGGCTCCTGGATCGGGAACGACTCCTGAATCTTTTGATAGGACTTCTAGACCGGGAGGAACTTCGGCTTTTGCGCTTGCGCTTTTTTCTACCCCTACTGTGTGCCTTCTTCTCTTTGCTTCTTGACCTATGTGAGCGATGTTTTTTCTTGTTTTTGTTGTGGCTGCTCTTTTTCCTGCTCGATTCCCCATTTCTTCTGCTCTCTGGGCTGCGACTGTAGCGTCTCCTGGAAAATCCATGGTCATCATATCGGCTTGACCTCTCCCAACGTTCAGAGAGATTATTTCGGTCTGGTGACATGTTAAGGTCTCGGTCGGCCTCCCAAAATTCATTAGTTGGGTTCTTGAAGACATGCAGGAAATTACAGTGCTTTCCTCTAGGACATTTTTGCCTTTCAAACAACCCTTTCAAAAAAATTAAAAATGTACAAAATCAGAAAGAAAACATTTTCAACTATAACATATAAAACAAGACTGTCATATTACATTCATTCCAAGCAGACAGGAAGCCTACTAGAAAAGATCTTAAAAATAAGAGCTGCCAAAAGCACAAAATATAACCTAATCACCAAAAATAGTTGGTTCCTATGCCTGTCTCCTCCCTCCATCCATCCATTCATCATGTCCATTGACAACACATCTTACAAAAACCAGAACAAGAGAACCTTCAAATGCACTATGGAATATACAGTATCTCACAGACGTGAGTACACCCCTCACATTTGTGTAAATATTTTACACTATCTTTTCATGTGACAACACTGAAGAAATGACACTTTGCTACAATGTGACGTAGTGAGTGTACAGCTTGTATAACAGTGTAAATTTGCTGTCCCCTCAAAATAACTCTACACACAGCTATTAATGTCTAAACCTCTGGCAACAAAAGTACACCCCTAAGTGAAAATGTCCAAATTGGGCCCAATTATCCATTTTCCTCCCCCCAGTGTCATGTGACTCGTTAGTGTTACAAGGTCTCAGGTGTGAATGGGGAGCTGGTGTGTTAAATTTGGTGTTATCGCTCTCACTCTCTCATACTGGTCACTGGAAGTTCAACATGGCAGCTCATGGCAAAGAACTCTCTGAGTATGTGAAAAAAAGAATTGTTGCTCTACATAAAGATGGCCTAGGCTATAAGAAGATTGCCAAGACCCTGAAACTGAGCTGCAGCATGGTGGCCAAGACCATACAGCGGTTTAACAGGACAGATTCCACTCAGAACAGGCCTCAACCAAAGAAGTTGAGTGCATGTGCTCAGCGTCATATCCAGAGGTTGTCTTTGGGAAATAGACGTATGAGTGCTGCCAGCATTGCTGCAGAGGATGAAGGGGTGGGGGGGGGGGGGGTCAGCCTGTCAGTGCTCAGACCATACGCCATACACTGCATCAAATTGGTCTGCATGGCTGTCATCCCAGAAGGAAGTCTCTTCTAAAGATGATGCACAAGAAAGCCTGCAAACAGTTTGCTGAAGACAAGCAGACTAAGGACATGGATTACTGGAACCATGTCCTGTGGTCTGATGACACCAACATAAAATTATCTGGTTCTGATGGTGTCAAGCGTGTGTGGCGGCAACCTGGTGAGGAGTACAAAGACAAGTGTGTATTGCTTACAGTCAAGCATGGTGGTGGGGAGTGTCATGGTCTGAGATTGTATGAGTGCTGCCGGCACTGGGGAGCTACAGTTCATTGAAGGAACCATGAATGCCAACATGTTTGTGACATACTGAAGCAGGAGCAAGATCCCCTCCCTTCAGAGACTGGGCCGCAGGGCAGTATTCCAACATTATAATGACCCCAAACACACCTCCACGACGACCACTGCCTTGCTAAAAAAGCTGAGGGTAAAGGTGATGGACTGGCCAAGCATGTCTCCAGACCGAAACCCTATTGAGCATCTGTGGGGCATCCTCAAATGGAATGTGGAGGAGCGCAAAGTCTCCAACATCCAGGATTCCAGTGGCAACCTGTGAAGCTCTGGTGAACTCCATGCCCAAGAGAGTTAAGGCAGTGCTGGAAAATAATGGTGGCCACACAAAATATTGACACTTTGGGCCCAATTTGGACATTTTCACTTAGGAGTGTACTTACTTTTGTTGCCAGCGGTTTAGACATTAATGGCTGTGTGTTGAGTTCTTTTGAGGGGACAGCAAATTTACACTGTTATACAAGCTGTACACTCACTACTTTACATTGCAGAAAAGTGTCATTTCTTCAGTGTTGTCACATAAAAAGATATCAAATATTTACAAAAATGTGAGGGGTGGACTCACTTCTGTGAGATACTGTAATTTCAGACCAAGTTTTAAAGGATAAATTCACTTTTGTAAACAAAAAAAAAACATTTGTGCAGTTAGAAAATTTTTATATTTTTTCCTTTTCGGAGCCTGCACAGAACTGCACTCACGATCTGCTAATCACAGGTGCAATGTCAGGCTCCTGCAGACTCTCAGTACAGCTGTCTGCCTTAACCTCCTGTACAGGCAGACAGTTACTAAAGAGCAGGAAGAATCATTGAACTACAGGGACGCTCATCAGCGTCCTCGCCGTTCATTGAGGATTACAAACTGTATGTGGTGATTGCAGATGGAATTTGTAGGCCATTCATTCACAGAACTGTGAATAAATGATACAGCTGTGCGGGAGGGGCCACGCTGTTTTTAATTTATAACAGTGGGTGCGGGGAGAGGATCCTCTGACCGTTGTTACAAGTGGGGTTTTGGGAGTCCAGGGCTGTTGCTTTATTAACATGTTACCCCTATTACGGGTGTAATATGTTACTAAAGAGAAACGTGTAAACGTAAGTGCAGCGCAATAAAACAAAGATTTGATAAACTATAAATATAAGGAAAAAAAAGTCCATTGACATTTGCAGAGATACTGATCAAATGGTGAATGGAGATGTGACATGTTTACACATCTAGGTGCAGCCGCTCACCTTAAGAATATGACTCCTGAATTAACAAGAAAGTCTTGTCTCACATTCCCCTACAGGAGTAACACTCAGATGGAAATGTTATAAAGTGCTGGAATTTGTAAGTGTGTTTTTAAACATTTTATACAGTAAAGCTTTTAGCAGAGAGAGCCATTTGTCTTCCTCTTGATTTGTCATATCCATTGGACATATTTGAGGAGTTTCCATTACGGATCAGCGGTGTTTCCATCTAAGTGTTACTCCTGTAGGGGAATGCGAGACATAACTTTCCTTTTAGTTCAGGGGTCATATTCTTGAGCGGCCACATTTACATTTGTTGGTGGGGATCAAGCACCTTCCACACCTGGATGTTTAAACATGTCACGTCTCCTCCTATTCACTGTTTGATCAGTAACTCTGCTAATGTCAATGGACTTTTTTTTATATTTATAGTGTTTAAAGTATTTGTTTTATTGCGCTGCACTTACGTTTATGCTATTACAGTGATTTAGGTGTTGTGAAATCTACCTTAAATGTTCAGCCTGCATCATCATTTATTTACAGATTTTAGGGTTGTGACTGCACTGATTGGTTTTGTTTAGTTACTAAAGATGAACTTATCCTTTAATACCTATACATGTAAATGGCTGCTTTGGAAATGGGGACAGATATATTTATAGGCAATTATCACTTATCCAAGATCTTTGAAATATGCTTGCATTTTTAATGTTCAACAACTAAAGATGGCAATACAATAGTAGATTTTCAAAAGACTGTGTGCAAACAAGTGTATGAAAATTTGTACAAAAATTCTACACGTTTTGGCAGCTTGACAAATTATGTTCGAAAGTACTCAAAAAATGTATTTGCAATTATAATTACAGAAAATCTATTTTAAAAAAAAAAATTGATTTTGGAACAAACTGACTTTCTGAACGATAAAACAAACCATAGACTACTAGAAACTCAATCTTTTGAGAAAAATTCTCCACCCTGTTCTGGTGTTTGTAAATGATTGTTGATTTGGAAGCACCACCATCATGGATTCCAGTTGTGTACAGCATAGACTAGTTACTGCAGAAGCAGCAGTAAACGCCTGTCTCACACAGCACAGCACGCATTAGAGCCACATCATCTCTATGGGATGCTTTATTTAGAAGTATAAGCTGGAAAATAGGCAGTTGGTTGGCAGCGCAGCAGATATAAAAAAGACGGGTTAATAAAAGCATACAAAAGAACCCTAGCAGGCTTACTGAAATGTACAAAAAACTTGCAACTCAAACTTCTAGAATAAACTGATGTGTGTGCATGTACAATCAGATGATATTTTTCAGCCTTTGAAATGCACCGCAGCAACATCTCCTGATATGCATTGAAAAACAAGACAAATGATTTTCTATTGACTGCATCCTTTTCAACACCTTAACAATCCTCTATGGCTAATTAAGACAGTATGGCTCCTCGCAAACCTGAAGGTCTTGAGGGTGTAGTGATACCTTATGTATCAGTTGCATTTCATTTATATATAAAGCTTCCAGCCCACAGAGTGTCAAAAAGGACCCTATTCCAGTTCCATATTGACCCAGATACTACGCTGGTTTAAATCCTGCACTAGGAACTTCTGTTCCAAACTGTCACAGCACTCCACTAGTAAGACACAACACAAGATCCTACTGCCAGAAGACAATATTGAAATGTTTTTTCCCCCATTGTTTTCTATTTTAATAGTACACATGGCTTGACTTTTCATATACTTTTTAACAGCAATTATTGAAATCCCTATAAAAGGAGAACTTTTGTGAAATTGTCATTTTCTACAGCCCCTGCCCTAACTGCAGGCAGCTTGGCTTTATACTCATCTTTAGCCATCTTACCCCACACATGGACACAGTAGGAAACGCTTAAAAAAAAAACTAAAATATGAAATCTGTGCCCAAAAAGGCTGGCAAAGGGGAAAATACTTTTCTCCCATATTGCCCATTCTCTGCCTACAGCTGATCATTTCCCCCCACTATGGATTGTCGTGCCTTGTTCTGCACTGTGCATCTGTGTGGAGGTGGTAGTCCTGAAAGAGGTAGGGTATTGCTTTCTCATGTCAGAGCCTGCAAGGAGAACAGTTAGGAGATTTAGTGTGATATTTGATGCTATGCTGCTAAGACTAGCAATCAGAGAGAGCAGTGCTATCAATCTTACAGCAGTTATAGGGCTGGGAGACTGTAAGCACCCTCACACCCCAGGTAGTGCAATGCAATGTTAAAGGATAAGTTCACCTTTCATACCATATTACCTGTTACACCCATATTCAGGGTGTAACATGTTATGAAATGACTGGCCCCTGCTTCCCCGTTTTGATAGTTAATGGGGGATCTTCTGCCCCCGCTAGCTGAGCTGAAAAAAAAAAAAAAAAAGACACGCGTCCATGCGGGGCTCTGTCTGCCCAGACGCTTCACTCATTCAGTGTTCTGTGAATGAGAAGCTACAAGTCCTGACAGCCTTAGCAGCTGTCAACTTGTAGTTCTCAATGAACTATCAAGGTGTTGTGGCAGTTCATTGATTCTTCCAGTCCGTAAGTATTGGCTTCCCCATATGGGTATGAGAAGCAGATACACTGACTGGTCTGCAGGAGACCTGCATGGCACCAGCGATCTGCTAATTGCTGGTGCAATGCTTTACAGGCTCCTAAAACAAAAAATAATAAATGCACATTTTTTTAGCTGCAAAAAAATGCATTTATTATTTTTTTGTAGAAAGGTGAACTTATCCTTTGACTTTTTGAGTTCACTACCACTTTATCTATGCATGTGTGCCACAGCCGTATTTATTTCTATGGGTAGCTGTACTCACAGCAGCCACTCAGAATGCGGTTCATCCTTTAAAATGAATGCTGCAGTGCGCATGAAAAGACTAAAGAGAAGCCAACTGGGTCCATGTTAGAGGTAAGATTGCAGCTCACAGTGAATATAAAACCCATTCTGCCTGCACTCAGGGGGTAAGGGGCTATAGTAAAAAGACAAATTCACTTAAGCTGAAGTTGTCCTTTAGGGTATGGTTCAAACGATAATAAAGAAAGCAGTGCAGGCAAATCTTGAAAGAGCTTCTCCTCTCCTTACCACATATAGCAGATTTCCACTTGGTGACAGGTGAGAATTCACACTGAAGCTGACGAGATGCGTACCAACGACCATTGAACAAAGAATAAGCCCGTGCGCACTCGTCTTCCCTGGAAGCAAAAATATGAGTGTGAAAAAGATCCATATTATTTAAAATATTAACCATCAATATCAAGGCTAATCGTATACATAAACAAGGCAGCAAAAAAACAAAAACAAACTGGGTCTGAAAACTGAGTGTAACTACACAAGAATGTCTAATGGTGAGATGAGATCCCTGGCCTGCACAATAACAGATTTGGATTAGGTTCTCAAGAACACCAAGGTATTGCTAACCAAAGAAATATATTCATTCAAGCAATGCTACAACTAAATGCCCGAGTATGTAGGCTGTGCTTCTCATATGTCTTTCCACAACTGTAAAACAGCACAGTTCTTCAATACTCCTTGAAAAACAACAGTGAACCCCCTGGTATATGAGGGTGTCTAGGCCCAACATAGAAAAGTGATGGCAGAACAAGATGCTTTCTCATATGTCTTTCCACACCTGTAAAACAGCACACTTTTAAAGGGGAACTGAATTCAAAAAGTGAAGATTTTGTATGCTATAGAGAACATTCAGAATGTTACTTGTACCAGCTCAGTACCCTGAAAAAATGTACCCAATCTTCTTCAATACTCCTTGAAAAACAACAGTGCACATCCTGGTATGTGAGGGTGTCTGTCTGGGGTTTTTTTTTTTTTTCTCATAGATGTTTATCTGCTATGTGAGATCTAAAGCGCTGCTGCCTCTGCTAGTTGCAGGAGATTTGGAGTGGGATCTGGTGATGTCAGCACTGTGCTGCTCACTGTTCTCCTTGCTGGAAGCTCTGACATGAGAAAGCAAAGCTTTGCCTTGGCAAAGATGACCGCCTCATCCCAGAGACACAGTGCAAACCAAGGTCAGTCAATATTGGGGAAAGATCAGCTGCAAGGAAACCACAGGCAATACTGGTGTCTAGTCAATTTCCTTGCTACTAAATATTCCACGGTGAACTGTTAGTGGTATTATAACAAAGTGGAAGCAACTGGGAACAACAGCAACTCAGCCACAAAGTGGTAGGCCACATAAAATGACAGAGCGGGGTCAGCGCATGCTGTAGATCACAGCGCACAGAAGTTGCCAACTGTCTGCAGACTCAATAGCTACAGACCTCCAAACTTTGTGTGGCCTTCAGATTAGCACAACAGTGTGTAGAGAGCTTCATGGAATAGGTTTCCATGGCCGAGCTGCTGCATCCAAGCCTTACATTACCAAGTGCAATGCAAAGCGTGCGTCGGATGCAGTGGTGTAAAGCACGCCGCCACTGGACTCTGGTGCAGTGTAGATGTGTTCTCTGGAATGATGAATCACGCTTCTCTGTCTGGCAATCTGATGGACGAATCTGGGTTTGGCAGTTGCCATGAAAACGGTACTTGCCTGACTGCATTGTGCCAAGTGTAAAGTTTGGTGGAGGGGGGATTATGGTGTGGGGTTGTGTTTCAGGGGTTGGGCTTGGCCCCTTAGTTCCAGTGAAGGGAACTCTTAAGGTGTCAGCATACCAAGACATTTTGGACAATTTCACACTCCCACCTTTGTGGGAACAGTTTGGGAATGACCCCTTCCTGTTCCAACATGACTGCACACCAGTGCACAAAAAGGTCCATAAAGACACAAAAGAGCAAGTTTGGGGTGGAGGAACTTGACTGGCCTGCATAGTCCTGACCCCAACCCGACAGAACACCTTTGGGATGAGTTAGAGTGTAGACTGTGAGCCAGGCCTTCTCCTCCGACATCAGTGCCTGACCACACAAATCAGCTTCTGGAAGCATGGTGAAACATCCCCATAGACACACTCCTAAACCTTGTGGACGGCCTTCCCAGAAGAGTTGAAGCTGTTATAGGTGCAAAGGGCGGGGCCAACTCAATATTGAACCCTACGGACGAAGACTGGGATGCCACTAAAGTTCATGTCTGTGTAAAGGCAGGCCAACCTATACTTTTGGCAATATTGTGTACACACACACAGAGCGGGTAAAATCAGTATTTAACACGTCACCATTTTTCTCTGTAAATATATTTCTAAATGTGCTAATGACATGAAATGTTCACGTTTGTAACAACACACGCAATTCATACATACAAAGAAACCAAAACAAATAAGTTTAGAAATTAAATTATGTATAATTTATGTGTACAATTATGTATAATAAAATTAAATGACACAGGGAAAAGGTATTGAACACATGAAGAAAGGGAGGTGTAAAAAGGCATGTAGAAAGCAACCAGCGAAAATCTATCAGTAATTAAAAAACAATCCTGCCCCTTCTCAGTGCAAATTAATATCAGCTGGTTCAGTCTCAACTGAAGGCCTATAAAAAGGTGTCACACAAGAAATATCTCATGATGGGTAAAAGCAAAGAGCTCTCTCAGGACCTTTTCAACCTTAATGTTGCAAATCATGCTGATGGCTTTGGTTATAGAAGGATTTCTAAACTTCTGAATGTCCCAGTGAGCACTGTTGGAGGCCATGATCTGGAAATGGAAAGAACATCATTTCACCATAACCCGGCCACAACCAGGTGCTCCTTGCAAGATTTCTGACATAGCAGTGAAAATAATCAGAAGAGTTGTCCAAGAGCCAAGGCTCCTTTTAACGAGCCCAGAGTACCAGTAACTAGTGGAAAGTAAAATGTACAAACCATACAGTTCACAGCACAGGAGAGAACATAAAAAAAATGATAACACTTACGTCTGATATTGTACGTATACGTTTCCTCTTAAATGAAGCTCAAAATTACAGCTAACCTGGGAAGAAAACACAACAAAAAGCTTACACTTGAACAGTATATAATATGTACATACATATTTCTTCCCATGGCTGATTTGCAAGACTTTTACCAGCTACAAGAAGTGGTGTTTTCTCTACTACATAACAATACCTTTCAGGAAACAATAAAAAGTATCACAATAAACCTCTTCCAGAAAAAATACAATAAAGAAGTACCCAGTGCATTCACAGCAGTGTTTGACACATTCACACAATTGTACAGAAAGTGAAAAACTGGACAGTTTTGCCACTTCATAATTTAGCTATTACAGGCAAAAAGTCTTCAGTATTCATCCTATAGGACTACTTACTGGACACAAGGTCAATTGTGTGTTGGAATAGATTGGTTCCCACTAAGGTATGTGCGTTTTAATGTGATTGTAGAGTTTTTTTTGGTTTTTTTTTTTTAAATAAAAAAAACAACATATCATACATACCTGGCCCTGTACAATGGTTTTGCACAGAACAGTTCTAATCCTCCTTTTCTAGGGTCCCCCACTGGCACTTTGGGCTCCTCCTCTTTTCTGTCTGCAGGCTGCTTCCTATGGTTGCACACCTATGGGCTTGCTCCATAGCCTTGCTCTATGTGTCCTTTGACACAGACAGCGTGGCTCTGCCCCACCCCTACTCCCTCCTCACTGGATTTTCTTGACAGCAGCAGGAGCCCATGACTCCCACAGCTCTCACTTAGTCCTGTAAGAAAGAAAAAAAAGAGAGAGCAGTGCCACTGCTCTCAGGTAGATTGCTGGCTTGAGATCAGGCTCAGGCAGCTGGGGGACTTTGGTGCTGACATCAGAAGGTTATTTTACCTTAATGCAAAGAATGTATTAAAGGTAAAAAAAAAAAAAAAACCCTTCATCCTCTATAACCACTTTAATTAACCACAGCGCTGAGCAAACCCTTTGGCGCTATATAAACTCGAAGTAATAATAATTATGTTCTATGCCAATAATCTACTACAGTATGACATTTGTATCCATATTTATTATAATTAGTTTCAAAACAACCATTTAAAGAAATGTTTGTATTTTGTGCTCATTGGTCAGTGGTCATTGACCTCCCCCAGCAAACACATGGGCAGACGCACTGTTCCATTAAATTCATAGCCATCTTTCACATATTGCTTAAAGTAAACCTGCAGCTGCTGGTGACTGTTGGAGAAAAGATAATGCAGGCGCCTCCTGGTTTCTGTGCGTAGACTTTGTTAAAACAAAAAGTAATGTTAGGGAAAAGTCATTCTGACCTCTTACGGTCACTGTGAAATCCAGCCCTTCCCGTTCTCACTGCATCACTCTTGCTCATTCAGGATACACTTTTTTTAGCCAACAGTGATACAAGGAGAGCAGGAATGAGCCAACAACACAACTACCACAAATGATCTGGTCTCTTTTCCCTGTAGCATTAGTAGCACCCCAGATTTTGGAGAATTTTCTGCAAACCAAGTCTGTTCGCAGGCACTCTGTTCTGAAGAAAATACCCAATACTGCTGGGTATGGAGGATCATGTGACCGAATGTCACACAAAGCCCATGACTGCTGACTCATGGCTTACACGGAACTTTCCGTTCTTCCCAATGACTGAATGAAAAGATGATTCGGGGTGACTGAAGTGAAGAAAATGGAAGGCAAGTAATGCATGTTATAACTGCAGCAGAATGGAATTTAATAGTTCAAAAATGCATAGTGACCTCAATAGAGCAAAATAACTACAATTGCTGCCCTTGTACTGTATCTTGTTAATGTGGCCAGTTAGTAACAACACAGATCCTATTTTTCAGGTCCATGTGTTGTATTGTGTTTTAGAGGCACATTTCCAACAAATTCTGTTTGATTTTTCAATAGCTTTTGATTCAAAGGACATCACAGTGTGGAGTTCATGGCTCTGTCCAGAGATGAGGCAGGACCACAGTACAGTACCCGATGGTACACTGCCTGTCAAAAAGGTTTCATGGTCTTTTGATCAGATCTCCTGAGACAAATAGTGAAACTTGTCTTTAATAATTCATCTGTCAAGATGTCACGGTGAAACACACAAATACTAAAGAAATGACATTTGTATCATGGAGAACTAAACAACTCAAGTACAAAATATCTGAAAGAAAAGTCAAGTCAACCACAGTAACCAAAATCCCAACCATCAACTGCTTTAACACAAATAGAAATGAGAAATGAGAAAAGTAAAGTATTACACGTGAGGAAAATTACTCATATAGGATATCTAGGTGTGCGTAAAAATCTATCACACACTCCTCTGGCACTAGGAGCTTAAATGGCATAGTGGGCGCAGGTAGGCACAGACATTTTTCAGGGAAATAGGCAATGGACAGTATATAGGCTAATTCTACAACTGCATTTAAAGCTCAACACCAGGAAATAAAAAAAACAAAAATCCACATCCATATTGAAAAGATTGCTTGTTAACACTGGAGGAATAAAGTGTAATGCCTACCTTATATCTCACCTCAGCAGGCTCCCTCCATCCCTCCATCTGTGTGGTCGGTCCCCCGAGGCCACTTTTCTAAGATGCTTTGAGCCACAGACTCGCATCATCACGTACAATACAAGAGCAATAGCCTACATAGTACATGAGGACAGAGAGAGCGCATCTTCAATCCGGAGCGAGGGAGAGCACCAGAGCAAAGAGTAAGGCAAGCATTACACCTTATACTTCATCCCATAGTGTTCATGAACTCTGTACTGGGGAAAGGGGTTGCACTGCAAGGGTAGTTTTTTTGCAATTCCTTGAGTTGGGCTTTAAAGTAATAAATATTTGTGGTTGTATTTAGTGGTTGTATTTAGTGGTTTCAGCAGCAGCTTCCAGTTTACCAATTTAACTGGCAAAACCATATCACATACAGTACATTAAGGCGTTTTTACCTCTTTACATCATGACAACTGAAAAGGTAAATGGAATATATAGTGGTTTTCTACATATTTCCTTTTTTATGGCCAGGGAAACATGAAATTTTGCATATGAATATTATCTCCTTCCCGCCAACAGTATGCATATATGCGGTCTCATGGAAGTGGGCCTTTTATCCATAGGGCCGCATATATGCGTACCTGCCTTTGTGCCAGGAGACAGCGCTGCACAGCGTGCACCCAGCAAAGAAACAGAACTCTCACCGGGAACCCCGGGTTCCGTACTAACGATCAGCACTCGGGACTCCCAGTTCCAGGTCTGTGATAGCCTCTGACTGACTATCACAATGATCAGTCAGTGTGCAGCCCGCCCCTGTGCTTTCTTACTCTCTGAATGGAGAAAGATATATTGTATCTTCTCTTCTTGCAGGAAGAAAGAAGTAAACAAACAAAAGCATGTTAAAAATAAATAACTAAAACTAAAAAGAAAAAATAGGTAGCTCAATGTTTGATCTAGGACAGTGCCAGGGTTAGTGTATGGGTCAAAGGTCAAGGTGTCATATTTTGGGCAGGATTTTTTTTTTTTTTTTCCCCCATCAGTGTCAGTGTGTTTTAGGTAAGATCAAAAAAGGCAAAATGCGCACTATTGTTTCAGGGCTGTACTACAGGTACAAAAAACAACTAACATACATAAATGTGGTATTGCTGCGATTGTCAGTAGCAGGAGAATTTATTTTGAGTTGTTTTTTAGTGGTAGGCTATGGTAGAAGAGAAAAATATACAGTTAAAATTTAAAAAAAATGATTTTTTTTCCCTACTATTTTGGGTCAGTTTTCTTTGAAAAAAAAAGTAGTTGTGATGATATGTACAGTTTTACTAGCACATGTGAAAGTTGCAAAATTGTGTTCAGACTTTTTTTTTTATTTTTTTACCCTTAGTCACCAAGGGGCTAATCAGTATTTTACACAGCAGCAAGAGGGAGCTTGTGGCTCCTTTCACTGTTCTCTGTACATACCATATGTTGAAAAAACTTGCCGTTTATAAGTATAAAAGTGGCATTTACAATCAGAATTGGATGCATCTAGAGTGGGGGTCAGCAACCTGTAGATTGTGATCTACCAGTAGACCATGGCAAGTTGACTGGTAGATCACAGTCTGGGCTTGCTGACCCGCCATCCCACAGCATCAAGCAGACTGCAATGCAGAAGGACTACATGTAATGGAGCTGTAGGGAGCAAGAGCCACATAAGCCGATGCCTCCTCTGTAGTGCCGGCTCCTGTCCCATGCGGAGTGATACAAACTGCACTCCACATTTTATCCTGGCTAGCGGTCTCCAGAGTGGTGCCAACAGCAAGAAAGAAGAGATATTCAAGTCACTGTGAAACAACACACTGGGCATAATAGTATAAGGCTGCTTTCACACTGATGTGCTGCGATTTACCCACACCATGGTGCAGTGCAGTGTACTTGCAGCTTTCCTACGGGTTTGCTGCACTTAGCCATAGACTTCTATTATATCCTGCGCTCCTCTAAAAAACAAACAATTAGATGTGTTTGAAAGTTGGTGATGAGGAAATATGCTGCCTCACCACCACCTGATCTAAACCCATGATTGCTGTGCAATGCATGCGATTGCGACATAGTAGTGCAGCAATTAGAATTTGAAATCAGGTGTGAGGAGGCGACACTGTGGCCAGTGATCTCGGACTTCTCCCATGTTGTTCAGGTAGATCTCCACCTCTTTAAGGTTGCCTACCCCTGATCTAGAGGAATGGTTCATTTTCAGAGCGCTCAGTAAAAAGATTAAAGCGAAAGACAGCTGAGTGTGAAAGGCAGTGCTCTGCGTATCACCTGTTAAATGTTTATTTGTGAAACAAAGATTGCATAGTGTGAGAAAACCCTCCACAGATAAGACCAGTCCTGTCCTGTCCTGTACCTAGTCTCATCACTGGCTTGACAGTTGTGTTGTAATAATATAGTTGAATAAAAACAAAAAAAAAAAAAAAAAAAAAAAAAAAAAAAAGAAGAAGGATATACTAAATCTAGAAAGATATTTTTTTATAAAATCCACACACAGTATAATGCTGTGTATGATGTTAAATAGATAAAGGTAATGTTTTTTGAGTACACATTTATTATATATTAACTTGATGTGGGTTGGTATTTACATCCTATAGATATAGCTTTTGAGATCATATTTAGTTTGTGTGTGCCACCAAGATCTTAATGCATTTTTTGAACGATATCACTTTTTACAAACATCTGTACACAAACTGGACATACAAAATTAATTGTTCAATTTTTTTTTTTAACTTTCTTTCAAACCTGTGATATGTATGTGAAAAATACCAAGTAGTCTCCTGAGGTGAAAAGTGGAAGTCAGTGCTCATCAGTCAAATGATTTAAACTTATTGATAACTTTCTGGGCATAGAACTTACAATGTAAATGTACAGGCAATGACACACTCACTTGTCTGGAAATTCTGTAGTTGCCGCATGACTGACACCTGCAGGCCACAATTAAAAATTGCTTTCAACTTTCTAAAACTCCTTTTATTATTAAGTGAAGCAGAAATGACCTTCAGCAACAAGAACTATGTGGAGTTTTACCTTGAATTGGATGACTTGTCCAACACTTTTAAATTCAGGTATAACATCATCGTAGAATTCCAAAAACTGCTGGTAAATTTCTTCCTCGCCATATTCCAAGCTGGCGTCCGTGTCATAATCATCCCGTCTACACTGCTCCATACCAAATGTAATAAACATACAACGGATAAGGAGCGTCTGGCTCGAAGATGGGTAGCTGTGCTTGCGGGAACACCTGTGTATTAGGGTGTAAAGATGTAAAACCCAATAGGAATTATCATGGATAACAGTAAAAAGTCAGACTGATGGCAGTTTACAGACTCCGTCCACCTAAAATCTGTATTTGTTCTGAGTGAGCTGAATCACATACTGAAATCTGTAACCCGTCATGAATTCTCATACCCCTTGATGCATTATCCATAAATTAAATATCTGACAGGCAACATTGTATGTGAAGGAAAAAAAAAAATCACAACAGACGCCACACCTCAACAATCTTGGTACTGGAGACCCTGCCACAGGAAACACTAGGGGATAAAATATAACCCACTTGCATCTATTAAAATCAGAGTGCCTTAGAATTTAAATGCTAAAAGTGTTAACAACTCTAGAAAATGGTTTAACTTCCTAACTTAAACATTTAAGAATAACTGAACCTTCAGGCCTCCAGTAATAGTGAACTGATAAAAAAATGTGGTAAACACTGAAGCTTTTCACAAAGAGAACCAGTCCTGAGTCATGACTGGGCTTATGCAAAAATCTGAATAGTGGTCTTAAAGTATTCTAACTAGCCAGCCTTGTTTATGAAATGATTAAAATTTTCCCACATATTTACCTACACTGAAAGCCCAACTCCAGCCAAAATGTCTTAGGGCTCATGTTGACAGGTGTTCTTTTCAAATGCTGCATTTGCTATACCAAATGCACCATAAGGCAGGTCAAACAGAGTCTGTATTGCCATGTATATTGCTTAATTCAAAACAACAGCATTTTAATGACTTGCATTCGAAACACACATTGAACACAGGAAAACATGGTCTGTCACTATGAGCCCTTATTTGGTTTTAGAGGTAGCAGGCAATGGATAGGACCTCACAGTTCCTCTAGGGGTGAAAGGCTGCAGTCAATATTCACATGACACAGAGTAACCTCCCATGTAAATAGATGAAGCAGAAGCAGGTTCAAAGTGAAAGCACTGGCTTATAATATCACAGTCCAATTTTAGGGCCATTAAGAAGATGGAAACTAGAAACTAAAGTGATTTACCTAGCAAGTGTTAGAAAATAAATATCATGAAAAAGGTTACAACTATTCACAAGGTGGGCTATTCCAAGCCAAAAATATAAGGCTTTATTTACTAAAGGGTCAACTCCTTAAGACACATGCAATAATTAATGGAATTGTATTCTCTTCAGCAAATGGAAGTGCAAATTTCAAGTTCAAAACTGGGGAGCTAGTGTGGAGTTGTAACAGAAGTCCAGGTCTACATGTATAGCAAGCCTGCAATCAGAGACATGATGGAGGACATTTACTAAAACTGGAGCGCATTGCAGCAGCAGCTTCTAACTTCAGCTTGTTCAATTAAGCTTTTAAAAGAGAAAAAAAAAAAAAAAAAACCTGGAAGCTGACTGATTTCTATGTGGAGCTGCACCATATTTTACAAGCTCCAGTTTTAGTAAATCTCCCTTCTTGAATGCATTAAAAACAACTTGGCAAGTTTGGAAAGTTCAATAATGTCTCCACCTTCTACAATAATGCACAGGTTTTTGTCAATTACCTTTCACCAAATCTACAGGCTCCAGTTTTGAGGTAAAACGGGCAATTGGCTCTGTCTTTTTCTGTGCCATAACCGTCTGGTGCCTCTGGATTGTGCCATGTGCCACCATTCTCTAACTGCAGAGGAAACAAAGACATGACATCAGCCAAGAAACAGGTTTGACCTTCTTTGTGTTCTTACTGTTATTTAGGATAAAGAAGAAATGTGTTTTATTAGCTAATGCTATGAATGTAAAGGTGCTTATCAAACCCGACAGAAGGCTGGAACTTATCCCAGTGGACCTTCACTTTAACTTATCCATGCAATATCACTATATGTATCTTTCACCAAGCCCAGATAATGCAATTCATCTTACCTGACTCTCTGCTTCATCCAGCATCTTCTGAACGGCCTCCTAGAAATGGTGTAAACACAGGGCTAGTAAAAACCTCCATAGTGCACAATATCTGCTTCAGGGGTTAAGAATGTCTAACATGTATAAACACTACAGAATTGTTGTTACTGGAATTATACTGTATAATGCATTTTAGAAAGACAACAATTTACGGAATGATTGCGCCTGGGTTATACAATATGAAAAGTACAAGAAGGAGATTGAGGGTTAGCACTATCACCTGATATGTGTTTTATGCTCAATACTGACCATGTTACCAGTGTTAATACCTCTTCCTACACCAGTCAGGAACTAAAGCTGGATTCTTTTTGGTAATTTCATGATCATCAATGACAAGCATTAAAACTGGTCATAGATAGAATGAAATTTGTCCGGTTTTGCCGGAACCAGCAAATTTTGATCCATGTATGAGCAGGAAGGTTGTACATAAGTCTATCTATAGATCAACCATCCTGTTAGATATTCCCCGCTTGATCAGTATATTCTGATAGCATTGAAGTCCTCGCTGCCAGATTATAATCACTCAGCTGAGTGTATTCCTCCATCTATCCCAGTGTGTTGATGGTGGGAATAGAGTCAGTTTTTTTTTGTTCAACCCCGTTTGAACAGAAAAAAAACGGACTCATCTAATGTCTTCCCAGCACAATCACTAGAACATAATGGTTAAGGCAAGAAACATGCAGACACGGCAGCAATAAGATGTTCCTAGGTTGAATTACAGGCAGCCTGTTCATTCTGACTTTGCATTTCATCCTTTATGCCATTGGGGCTGGAAAAATGAAAGATGTAAAAGTACAATGTTGTCCACTATATTTACCACGCTTTAAAATGTTTTTTGTGTTAAATAAAAGAAAATATAAAATACTTTGCTGGGTACATCCCTATATGCACTTTGCCTTTGCCATCAAAAGTGTACAGCAAAGTCTATATGTCCAAGAAACCAACTTCTACACCAATAGGCCAGTATGTCTCAGAGTTCTGGAGATACAATCCAGTGAAACCTTTAAATGTAACATGGAAATAAGCAAAATACGTATGTCCAAAGATTTTCTTTTTTCATTCCACAGGAGGGTCACACTACAGTGTAAAATTCTCTGGCTATCAGTAAACTGGAGATGTACAATAACTAATCTTGAGCAAGTGACAGACTGAGTTAGTGTCAATGCAGCTCGACAGCGTCACTTCACAGACAAAGTATGCACACCTTTCAGGGCCGTCTTTAACGCAGGGCAAACGGGGCAGCTGCCCTGGGCCCAAAGCAGCAGAGCGCACAGAGTACACTGGAGACATCGCTGTATTCCCCAGCTAGCAGGAAGGGGGCTGGGCCAGGTCTGGAAGCTCCACTGACTCCACCCCATGCAGCCTGTATGCTTGAGAGGGAGCTGCTGTAGTAGAAGCTACAATGTGAGTGGGAGCCCCGCCTCCGGAGTCTCTGGTCATCTCCCGCAGTACGTCCGCAGTCTCTGGTCATCTCCCACAGTACGTCTGCAGTCTCTGGTCATCTCCCACAGTACGTCCGCAGTCTCTGGTCATCTCCCGCAGTACGTCTGCAGTAGTTGGTCATGTCCTGTAATACATACGCAGTCTCTGGTCATCTCCTGTAGTACGTCTGCAGTCTCTGGTCATCTCCTGTAGTATGTCTGCAGTCTCTGACCATCTCCTGTAGTATGTCTGCAGTCTCTGACCATCTCCTGTAGTATGTCTGCAGTCTCTGACCATCTCCTGTAGTATGTCTGCAGTCTCTGACCATCTCCTGTAGTATGTCTGCAGTCTCTGACCATCTCCTGTAGTATGTCTGCAGTCTCTGACCATCTCCTGTAGTATGTCTGCAGTCTCTGACCATCTCCTGTAGTATGTCTGCAGTCTCTGACCATCTCCTGTAGTATGTCTGCAGTCTCTGACCATCTCCTGTAGTATGTCTGCAGTCTCTGACCATCTCCTGTAGTATGTCTGCAATCTCTGACCATCTCCTGTAGTATGTCTGCAGTCTCTGACCATCTCCTGTAGTATGTCTACAGTCTCTGACCATCTCTTGTAGTAGGTCTACAGTCTCTGACCATCTCTTGTAGTAGGTCTACAGTCTCTGACCATCTCTTGTAGTATGTCTACAGTCTCTGACCATCTCTTGTAGTATGTCTACAGTCTCTGACCATCTTTTGTAGTATGTCTACAGTCTCTGACCATCTCTTTTAGGATGTCTATTAATGTGCTGCCTTGTTCAATCATTTGGGATTGCTCCACTGCTCAGTAAGTAGCAATGATGTGCAGTAACCTCTAGCAACCAGTCAGTGAACAGTAGTGATCTGCTGTAGTCTCTAGCAACCAATCAGTTAGCAATAATGCTATGCAGTAACCTCTAGCAACCAGTTAGTAGTGATGATGTGCAATAACCTCTAGCAACCAATCAGTAAGTGGTAATAATGTGCTGTAACCTGTAGCAACCAATCAGTGAGCGTTAATGATAAGCAGTAATCTATAGCAACCAATCAGTGAGCAGTAACAATGTACAGTAACCTCTAGCAACCAAACAACAAGCAGAAATTATGTGTTGTAACCTCTAGTAAACAGTCAATGAGTGGTATTGATAGGCTGCAATTGCAAACGCTGCCTGATCTGCTGCAGTAAACTGATTTTGAGTCTACATGTTTGCCCAGGGCCCAATCAATATTAAAGACGGCTCTGACACCTTTTATTCATTCTAAATATGCAGGCCTTCAGTTATTTAGAAATAACAATGTAAACACCAATCTGAGCCCTAGCTGCCATGGGCAACACTCTGGAGGTCCTTCTGAACATCGGCCTGAGCTCACAGTACAATGATGCAGAGTGCGCATTACTCGCCTTCTAAAATGAAACGGGTCAGGTAGATTCACTATGGGAAAAGATCAACACTACAGCACTACTAATCAGGAAGTAGAGTTTGTATGGGTAATGAGCAAATACTGCCACTTTGTGAACATATATAATTGCAATGTACGTATTTTTCAATACAATAAAGCACATTTATAAAATTATTTACATTGAAGTCAATTCTTTTATTTTTTCAAATGTATGTCTAAAAATTTCAAAAAAACTACAGTGGCCTTTGATACACACATGCACACACTCGTATACACTTATAAGCTGCCCCTTTTGGCATGTGGGAATGTACAGAATTCATGCAAGTCCATGTGCATACATTTAACCACAGCCCCACCGCCCTGTAGTAGAACTACTGATACAGGGCAGCAGGGGTATGCAAAATCATGTATATATACATGATTTTGCATTACTGGGTAGGCTGTCAATCACCGGGTCCCGGTCAGTAATTATTTGCCGGCCCCCTGTGATTTCCGACAATCACCGACGGGGATGAGGAGTGTTTTGTTTACCAACAGTCCTCCTCCCTGTTAACTCAGCCATCCAGAGCACAGGATGGACACAGCACAACCATCCAGCACAGTGTGATTACAGTGAAACACACACACACACACCGCCCCCTAGAAAAACACTTCCTGCACACAGTTAACCCTTTGATCGCCCCTCATGTTAACCCCTTCCTGCCCAGTGCCATTAGAACAGTGTTAGTGCTTTTTTTTCTTTTTTTTCTAGCACTGATCCTTGTATTGGTGTCACTGGGAATGTCACTGACACCAAGTGAATTCCCCCCAGTGTCAGAATGTCCGACATTCAGAAGTCGTTGATCGCCACCATTACTAGTAAAAATTAAATTTTTAAAAAAATCCCAAAATAAATATATATATATATATATATATATATATATATATATATATATATATACACATACACACATACACATACATACATACAGTTGCAAGAAAAAGTATGTGAACCCCTTGGGATTACGTGGAGTTTTGCATGAATTGGGCATAAAATGTGCTCTGAACATCATCTAAATCACAACAATAGAAGAACACAGTCTGCTGAATATAATACTACACAAACATTAGATGTTGCCATGGTTTAATTGCACATAACATGTACACATTCACAGTGCAGGGACGAAAATGTATGTATGTGAGGCCCTAGCTTAATGACTTCTCCCAGAGCTAATTGGAGCCAGGAGCGAGCCAACCTTGACTCCAATCAGTGTGATGACATTGGATGTGTTGCTGACAGCTGTCCTGCCCTTAAAAAACACACACCTGTTTTGGGTTTACTGGTTTCAAGAAGCACTGTCTGATGTGAACCATGCCTCGCAGAAAAGAGCTCTCAGAAGACCTACGATCAAGAATTGTTGACTTGCATGAAGCTGGAAAGGGTTACAAAAGTATCTCCAAAAGCCTTGATGTTCATGTGTCCACGGTAAGACAGACTGTCTACAAATGGAGAAAGTTTAGCACTGTGGCTACTCTCCCTAGGCGTGGTCGTCCTGTAAAAATGACTGCAAGAGCACAGCGCAGAATGCTGCATGAGGTAAAGAAAGAATCCCAGAGTGTCAGCTAAAGACCTACAGAAATCTCTGGCACATGCTAACATTTTAGTTGACACATTTACAATAAGGAAAACATTAAACAAGAATGGAGTACATGGGAGGACACCACGGAGGAAGCCATTGCTGTCTAAAAAGAATATTGCAGCACGTTTGAAGTTTGTAAAAGAGCACCTGGATGTTCCACAGCACTACTGGCAAAATATACTGTGGACAGATGAAACCAAGATTGAGTTGTTTGAGAAGAACACACAACACTATGTGTGGAGAAAAAAAGGCACAGCACACCAACATCAAAACCTCATCCCCACTGTAAAACATGGCGGAGGGAGCATCATGGTTTGGGGCTGCTTTACTGCCTCAGGGCCTGGACGGATTGTTGTCATTGATGGGAAAATGAATTCCAGAGTTTATTAAGACATTTTGCAGGAAAACGTACGATCTGTCCACCAACTGAAGCTCTGCAGAGGATGGGTGATGCAACAGGACAATGACCCCAAAGCATACAAGTAATTCCACAAAACAAAGGCTGCAACAGCACAGAATACGCCTT